ACAAAGGTGGGATCGGAGTTCCGAGCCCAGATCCCGGCCAGAGGTCCCTTTGTTTGTGTTTTTTTTTTTTTTTTTTCAGTCCTTTTGAGACAGGGTCTCCCTGTAGCCCCAGCTGTCCTGGAACTCACTATATAGAGGAGGCTGGCCTTGAACCCACGGAGATCCCCCTGCCCCTGCTGGGATTAAAGGCGTGTGCCACCACGCCCAGTGCTGTGTGATTTTTAGATGGGACTGGCCTGAGTATTTTAGGTGGAAAGAATTCTTAAGTTTTTGTCTTATGGCGCATGCTGTTCTTGTTCTAAGACCCAGAAGGTGGTGATAGTTCTTTCACCTCCCATGAGAATGAGATCTAGTGGCTTCTGCCCCACTGAGAATCCTCGGTGTACATTATATTGAGGAAGAAAAGAAAAATGAAACTTTTGACATCAAGCAATGCCAGATATGACACCATCCTCCATAACTTCCAGTGGAGGAGAGGGAGTTGATCCTGTGTATTCATCTCTCACTGCCCTCAAGTGACTCAGGATGAACGAACTTACCCATCCTCAGGACAGGTGAGGTAAGGCAGAGCCTAGGAACACACAGGCTGAAATAGGCAGGTGGATCACACAGGGACCACTGAGTGTTCTTTACCAGATATACCATGGGGGCCTGGGAAGGTGAGTACAGAGGGCTTTGTCAAGCATAAGGCTTCTCTGTCCTGGTGCAGCCCTGGCTTGACCAGAGCCTGAGCAGTGGGGAACCTTCATCCTCACAGATAAAGATTGAGGGTATCTTAGATGCAGTTGCTTTCTGCCCTGCGCTTGTTTGTCCTCGTGGTGCCTCACTTGTAGCATGGAGTCAGGATGATTGCCTCTGACCATCGGACTGGGTTCTGGTCCTGTCTCTGGTTTGCTTTGTGACCTTGAGTCAGCTGCTTAATCTCTGAATCAGTTTTCTCCTCTGTGAATTGCACACATTAGGTTCTCAGGACCCTTGGGCTCTGTTTAGACCTCTTGCCCTCTGCTTGCCCTCCCAGGAGCTCACCTAGTCAATGACAGCTTCAGCTGCCACCTGGAGCACTGACTATGACCAAGGGGATAGAGAATGTTCTTAGAATGCACACTGGACTAATAAGATCTAAAAAAGCACTCAAGAATGTGGAAGGATGTGACTAGAGAGCTAGAGGCCTCTAATAATCCCAGGCTGTGCTTAAGAGATTCAAGTCACCTCTGTCTCCCTCTGAACAGAAAGAAACCCAGAGATCAAGGAGTAGGATAAAGGCAATACCATGAGGCTAGAAGAGGTGAGGTTACCCTGCCTTGCCACTGTGACCAAGTAGGAGCCTTATACCTGGGCTCCTAGCTGTTGCTGAGGCCCTGTTGCCAGCCTAGGTCAGGCCAGAGCTCGCGGCTCCATGATACCAGCCTCCCTTATGAGGGAATAGGCAGGAGCGAAGTGAGCTGGGTCTGGCCGAGACTCTCTTCATTCCTAAGAGTAAAAAGGGGGTTGCTTTTTTGTTTCAGATTTCTGTCAGACCTTGACTGAGTTGAGAGGCATGAGTGGTCAGAGATGGGCATGGCCAGGGGCAGCTTTGCCAGCATTAGTTGTAGTCCCTTCTGGGTGTTTCCTCCTTGCCCTGGAGCCTCAAGCTCCTTCCTTGGTGATTGATGGCAATGCCTTGGCAGACAAAAGGCAGAATGGAGCAAGAAGCCTACCCTAGCACTGTGAATGTGAGCTATGCTTCAAACTTGGCCTCCAGTACCATTGCTCAGTTCGGTGAGCATTCAGGGCCTTGTGTTCCAGGCTGCCAGGGAGGTGTGGTACCTGGGGATTTCCAGTAAGAGGTACAGATGTTTAGTGCTTTCAGGGTAAATAGTTAAATGCCACTGTTTCTTGATAATCTTCAATCCTTTTGGAAGAAAGAAAGTATAAGCAGAACACATCACAGCATGCCAGTGCCAAGGAGAGGCTGGCTGTCCCTCATGTCTCTCCCCACAGGCATTTCTCAAGATCAAATGAATTGGGAAACTTAAGAAATAATTCTTATTAAGCATGTCACTTTTATGCATAGAAGGAACAGTGGTATGTGTGAACTGTTAGCCAAGCCTATGGAGTGTAGCATGTTCAGGCAAGGCTCACAGAGGTGACACTCTTTCAGCATTCTGTTAGAACTCTGTCTTCAGAACTGGATTCTTTATACTTTGAAGCTGTATTACCAATAGCCCTTCCATAGGGCCCATAGATATCTTTGGGGGCCATGTGTCTAGTAGGAAACCTGGACTGAGAGGTGGTGTCCATGTTTCTTTCAGGGACTGTGTCATTGTCTTCTTTGAAACTCTGCTGGTACCTAGTCTTGTAGCTGGGGCCTGAATCTGACTGCAACAATTTTGGAGTACAGGTACCTTCAGTTTGTATTTGAGAAAAAGAAAGTTCTTAGTGGGCTATTAAGGTTAGTTTGAAGAAGTGTTACTTTTCCATTCTTCCTTAACCACAAAATATTCAGATTTTGGCCTTAGTTATGCCAAAAACGGAGAGCTACTTAAATACATCCGCAAAATCGGTTCATTCGATGAGACCTGTACCCGGTTTTACACAGCTGAGATTGTGTCTGCTCTAGAGTACTTGCATGGGAAAGGCATCATTCACAGGTAATGGAGGCTACCCACAGGCCTTGTAATGATTAGTCATTGACAATGACAGTCATTGACAGTCATTGTAATGATTAGAGCCAGCTGCTCTGAGGCCCACAAGTGGTCCAAACCAGCCCTCTAGGGCAACAGTGGCTGGCTTTATGCAAGGTGTGACATAGGTGCTGCCAGGTGGTAGCTCACTATGAAAGATGAAACGATGTTGAAAATGAAAGGAACCTGCACTTGGAAAGTCTTACTCCTAAATCATCAACTGAACATGGAGAGGCATCCCTGGGACAGCAGCAACTCTTTACCATCTGGTACTTTTGTTTGTTTTTGTTTCTTTTGAGGCAGGGTCTCAATATGTATCCCTGGGTGACCTGGAACTAGCTATGTAGATCAGGTTAGCCTTGAACTCATAGATATTTGCCTGCCTCTGCCTCCAGTGTGCTGGGATTAAAGGCAAGCACCACCATGCCCAGCTTATCTGGTGCTTTTGATTTTGTCAGTTTTAGCTTTTATTCTATTTAATTCTGGTCTCATTGTTCATGCCTTTATTCTGATAACGTCAAATTAGAATTACTCTTTATGAACTAAAATAATAGATTATTCTTCAATAAAAAGTCATTAAAAGTGGAAGATGAATCAGGAAGTTGGTCATGGAAGCCAGAACTACTAAGGAGTTTTTAACAACTCATTTATGGAAAGTAAAAAAAGTGATGCAGTTTTGAGATGATATCTTTGGGATTACCTGTATCCTATGCTGTTGATATTTGTTCAGTGTCAGCTTTGGGCTTGTATTGTTGGTTGTTACACTGTAAAAGTAATAATTCGTCTCTTTAGTGTATTTCTGTCAAAAATGTAATAATTTCCTACTTTAAGCATTTCATCTCAAAGGTAATGCTCTGTTTTTACAGGGACCTTAAACCAGAAAACATTTTGTTAAATGAAGACATGCACATCCAAATCACAGATTTTGGAACAGCAAAAGTACTATCCCCAGAGAGCAAACAAGGTATGCTTGCTTGATTTTCAGCTGGCTTAAAACTGAAAGCAACTTTGAGCAAAGCATTACATTACATGGTCTTCATTGCTAATGCAGAAATTTGTGATGGCTGCTGGAACACCCCACCCCGGAAGTGTGTGTGTGTGGTTCAGTGGTAGAGGGAGGAACCAAGAACATCATGCCTGGTCACTTGTGTGCTAGGGGTGGAGTTGACAGCTCCTCTGGATGCTGCAGGTGGTATCTTGAGAGTACATCCTTGGACTCTCCCATCCTTGCCCTCTTCCCACCTATCCTTTCTCCTCATCAGATGTGCATAGCTGCCTGTAGTAGCCTAGGCATCCTCAGGGATGTTCTAGGAAAATCACATGAGTGAGTCTGATTTTCCTGCTGGTCATGTGCCTGTTCATAATCTCCAGCCCTCCAAGTCCTGTCCCCTGGGGTAATACTATATCCTTGATACCTTTGCTATCAAGGAGGTGCTGCCGAGAGTCTACCTGGGCCATCTTAGTGGCAAGGAGACAGCTCACTGCTCTTGTGTTCTGGCACTAACATCCTCATTGGAAACTATATACTCTGGAGGTATATAGAAGAGTAGTTTAACTCTTCAGGACTCTGAAATTTTCTTTTAGGTTAATAAGTGACCTTGCAAAGGAGCTTCAATCCTGAGATGCATATGATCTCTAGAACTGCCTGGCCTCTCTACCTGTGTTTGGGGGCGGGGGTTGATTTATGGAAAGCACTGTGGGGTTTGGAGATATGGTTCAATATTTGGCTCCTCTTGCAAAGGACCTGGGTTCAATTCCCAGCTCCACATAACCATCTATGACTCCAGTACTACGGATTTGACACTCTCTTCTGGCTTCTGCAGACATTGCATGAATGTGGTGCACTTAGATATATGGAGACAAAACACTCATACACATTAAATAAAAATAAATTATAAAAAGAAAAATTTAAAAAAAGGGAAAGCATTATGGGATATGCTTGGCCACAAGCTTCGAGCACAGTTGTGTTGGTGGAAGAAAGATTCTGATAAGCACTTACAGTACTGTGGCTGCTCTTTGGAAAAGGGGACAGAAGAGCACAGTACAGTGGGTTTCTAAAGCCCATTTCCACCAATAGTAAGCCAGTACATGGGAGCCAGAGAGAATTAAAACTAGAGCCAAGGAGGAGAGTTCAGGTGGAAAAGCAGATTCTGTCCACATGGTGTTGCGAGAGCTGGCTGGCTGGCTGGCTAGCTTCTCTTTATGGATCCTTGTATTTCCTTCTGGGTAGTGTTTCCACACAGGTCCTTGGTTGGATTCTATCTGTGCTTTTCCTCAGTGCAGTTCCAGACTGGAAACATCTCTGTACTACTTGGTGGGGAAAGTAAGCCTTGCCTTTGAGAAAAGAGGCTCTCTTTTCCTCACATGGTTTAGCCTCATGCCCTTGCTGCCCCTTCTGACACCAATGAGATGTCCTGACACCTGCATCTGATTGACTCATTCCTAGTAAATAGTAGCCATCTTTCTGGCCAGTAATCCTGATTTTATGGATTTGGTGTAACCTCATAGCCACCATAGCTATGAGCATTGTCCTTGATAACCAAACAACCACTTCTGTCTCTTAAACTCTTGTGGAGGCCTCTCCATTCCCCATAATGCTTGTGCTGGCTCTTCCTGCTTGAGACATGGGGCAACAGAGCTGGGTGTAGCTATGGTCCTGAGTCAGCCTTGGGAGCCACTCAGCTGGCCTGTGCTTTGGGCGTTTCTTCCTTTGTGCAGATTTTCTTCAGAATCAACACAGGACTATAATTCAACATAGCACTATTCTTACTGCTCTGTAACTATTTAAAAAAATACATAAAAATGAAGATTCATTGATAAACTAGTGAAATAAACCTTGTCTTTTTAGAAGCAGGGGGCTAAAAGCCTTAATACTCTGATAACCCAGGGACAATTGCTTATATATGTAGAGGACACAGGCTTTTTTCTCTCCTTAAAGGAGAAGAGGAAAGCATGTAGGATTTATTTTTGTCACTTATTCTTTTTTTTTGGTCTTTTTTTGAAATAGGCTCTCTCTATAGCCCCAGCTGGCCTGGAACTCACTATTGTAGACCAGGCTGGCCTTGAACTCAGAGATCCACCTGCTTCTGCCTCCCAAGTGCTGGGACTCCAGGCTTGGGCTATCACGCCCAGCTGTGGCTTACTCTTCTGTTTGAAGCAGTTTAGAATCTTAGACTTTATTCCCACTTTGGCTCCTTTTTACGTTTAAGTGACTTTCCTACAAAACATCCTGAAAACTTCTAAAGAACTGGTGGGAGGAAGTCTGCAGATTCCTCAGCTGTGGAGTTGCTGTATTGTACCTTCCTGTTACAGGGAGGCAGGCCTGAGGTTGTAAGGGCCAATGGCAGACTATGGAGCAGAGGCAGCTGTTGAGGGATTGATGAAAACTTGTGTCTTTGCCCTTGTTGAGGGGTCCCACAGATACATCCTGGTGAAGACAGTTTAATCCGTTAGAATATACCCCTAGTCTGTGTCTAACTTTTACCCTCAGTGTGTCCTGCAGGTTCAGCCATGGAGTCTGTTTCTGAAAGTCTATGTTCTGACCTGTGGAGGCCTTTCTGGTGTTTATCAGGTATGGAGGCTCCACTTGAGAACAGAAAGGAGAGAGGCCAGCAGGTGTGGGCAGGACACTAGAGAGGATGGATTGGCCTTTATCACTACTATTGCCACACAGTTGTATTGGTTTTCTTTTTTTTTTTTTTTGAGACAGGGTCTCACATTGTAGCCCTGGCTGGCCTAGAACTCACTATATAGACCAGGCTGATTGGAACTCACAGAGATTGGTCTGCTTTTGTCTCTGGAATGCTGGGATTAAAGGTGTGTGCCACCATGCCCAGTTGTATCGGTTTTCTTTATTCTCAGGAGAGTCTGGATTTTGTTGTTGTTTTTGTTTTTTGTTTTGTTTTATTCTGGTTTTTGTTTGTTGAGGCAGGGTCTCCCTGTAGCACTAGATGGCTTGAAACTCACAAAGATCTGCCTGCCTTTACCTCCCAAGTGCTGGGATTAAACACCTATACCACCATTCCTGACTTAAAATTTTTTTAATTTTAATTTTTTTATGTATATGAATGTCTTGCTTACATATATGTAAGTGCATCATACACATGCAGTGCCCACCAAGGCCAGAAGAGGGTGTCTTGATTACTAGAGCTGGAATTATAGGTAGTTGTGAACCCAGTGTGGGTGCTTCGAATTGAATTCGGGTTCGCTGCAAGAGCAGCAAGGGCTCTTAACCATTGAGTCATCTCTCTAGCCCCTCCTTAGTGTTCTTGGCAGTATCTTTCGGGGTCCTAGCAGGGTCCAAATGTAGCCATAAAGTCCTCACAGGAAACCATGCCCTAAAGGGACATTTACAAGACTGAGGGACCAATCAAGCTGGATCCCTTCAGTGGGGCTGGGACTTCGAAGCCCAGCTAGAAGGGTTGTGGGAAGAACCACTTAGAACTGCTTGCAGGGAGGACAAATGGGAGCCGCTACTCTGAGTGACCCTTACCCCATCAATCGGGTAGCTGGGTATTTCTCATGTTCCTTAGGACCCTGGGGTGAGTGGGAGGCTCCATTGAGATGAGTGGAGCATCTGGACCAAACCTGTGGCCTACAGATGAGTGTTGTGTGGGCCAGGACTGGAGGTGGTGGAAGTCCCTAAACTGTTTTCATAATTCTTACCTCCCTGCTACTCTGAGTACACAAGCTAGTAGTGACCTGAGAAGAGGGTAGTTCCTGGCCTATAGTTGTTTGTTGTATGTTCAATGTACATTTAGGTGCCACCAGTCCAGCAGTGAGCACCACAGGCAGGACCCTTGTCCTCCCTTGTTGCTCTATTCTAGTGCCACGATGATGGGTGATTGTGATGAGCATCTTCTACAGTTGTGTATCAAGTAGGAGGTACCAGAAAGGAAGAAAGTACAGTGTTCTAGGTTCTAGCAAGTATTCTTGGGTAGAATCTGTGAGTACTGAGTCTGTTCCAGGTGACCAGCTCCCATCTGCTCTAGTTAGATGGGGACATCCTGAGGAGTGCACCAGAGGGGAAATGTGGTGGAGGGCCAGGAATTGCATTTCCAAATATGACCTTTTCTTTTTTTCCCCTCTTTTCAGCCAGGGCCAATTCATTTGTAGGAACAGCGCAGTATGTTTCTCCAGAGCTGCTCACAGAGAAGTCGGCCTGTAAGAGGTAGCCTGTTTTTAATTCATCTGCACTTCACCTCTCTCTATGATAGCTATTAGGCTTCTTCATGAGAAATCGGTGGTACTTGAAAGAGGGACATGGTAGCTCTTAAATAGATAAACATTAGCTGGGTATGGTGACACATGCCTATAATACCAGGATCCCAGAGCATGAAGCAGGGAGAATTATGAGTCCAAGGTCAGCCTGGGATACAGTGAGACCTTGCCTAAAACAAACAAACAAAAAAAAATGGCTGGACATGGTGGGGCATCCCTTTAACCTGGTACTCCAGAGATAGAGGCAGGTGAATCTTAATGAATTTGAGGCTAACTTGGTCTACATAGTGAGTCCAGGGCAACCAGGGCTATATAGTGTCTCAAAACAAAACAGACAAAAGGGCCAAACATTTTGAAAGTAGTTAGTGTTTTGCTTTTTTTAACCTGCATTTTTCCTTTCATACATGTGTATACATGCTACTTTATAATCCCTGGTTGATTGTTGCTTTTTGGGTCGAAAGTTGATTATGATTTAGGGAAGCTGGTCCGGGGGGAGGTGAGACTTCTATACGGTAGAATTATAGCAGCCAGGTGCTTATTGTATAATGTTATGGGCTCTACAGAGATGGATGGAAGGAGTTTTTAGCCCAGAACAGACAGTCCTAGGATAGGCCTGGCAGTGATCACAGCATTGAGTCTTTTTTTGGGGGGGTCTTTTTGAGGCAGGGTCTCCCTGTAGCCCCAGCTGTCCTGGAACTCACTATGTAGACCAGGCTGGCCTTGAACTCACAGAGATCCGCCTGCCTCCCTAGTGCTGGGATTAAAGGCATGCCACCACACCTGGCAAGGGTCTATTTTTTATTTTACAAAGTATTTATTTTTATTTTATGTGTATGAGTATATTGCCTGCATGTATGTAAGTGCACCCGTGTCATACAGTGCCCACGGAGGGCGTTAGAAGAAGGTGTCAGATCCCCTGGAACTGGAGTTACTGATGGCTGTTAGTCACCATGTGGGTGGAAGAACTAAACTCAAGCCCTCTGCAAGAGTAGCCAGTGCTCTTAACTGCTGAGCCATCTCTCCAGCCTCCTTTAAAAATTTTTTTTTAAATTTATTTTATAAGTATGAGTGTTTTGCCTACATGTGTTTAAGTGTCCCCATGTTGGGCAATGCCTACAGAGGCAAAGAGTGTTGGATCTCCTGGAACTGGAGTTATTGTTAGCCACTGTGTGGGTACTGGGAACTGAACTCAGGTCCTCTGCAAGAGCAGCCAGTACCCTTAGCTGCTGAGCCATCTCTTCAGCCCCGAGAGTTTTGAGAGATGCAGCTGGGCCTTGATAGTGGTCTCAGTCATGAATATGAGAAGCAAAGGGTAGTGTAGGGGCTCTAAGGACTGACACTGGAACAGGGGTGGGTTTTATTTGCAAGACCAGGAGTTGGAAAGGGACAGTATTCAGGAAGGCAGTGGCCCATGGCCATGCCAGTTCAAGGTACTGTCTTTTGAGACTAAGGGGCAATATTAAGGCCTGGATTAGAGAGCAGATCTAGGAGACAAGGTCTGTGCCTTGAAGATGTGGGTGAGTTCTTCGTACTTTGGGCCAAACTGCTTATTGCCTGATTTGGCCCCAGCTACTTGGCCTGTTAGTGCCGCCTCATGAGCACTGCACAGTTGGTGTTCTGTAGCAAGTTGCAAAGGGTCACGTGTGTAAATGAGGGAGTCTGGTTAGACATCTCTGTCTGCGATTGATAGAAACTTTAGGAGTAAAGCCATGGGCACAAACATGAATGGCATCAGATTTGAGCTCTTACCATGACACCAGTCATTGCTAGGTCAGAACTGTTCAGCATCTGAAGCCATTTGTTTGTTTGTTTGTTGGTTGTGATTTTGGCTTTTTTGGTTTGTTTTTGTTTTTGTTTCTGTGTGTGTGTGTGTGTGTGTGTGTGTGTGTGTTCGTGTTCACCTTCCTGCAAGTATGTTTGTGCACCATATGTATGCCTGATGCTTGTGAAGGCCAGAAGAGGATGTTGAGTCCCCTGGAACTGGAATTATAGATGATTGTGAGTTGCCATATGGGTGCTGGATGTTAAGAAGATGGTTGGCCAGTGTCAGCAGTGCCAGATGGTAGGTGCCATTTCTCAGTTTTTCAGTATATATTTCTGTTGCTGGAGACTGAGGCTTTGCTTATTGTTGGCTCTTCCAAGGATGGCAAGTGTCAGAACTGATGGGAAAGTGCTCTAGGCTCAATGGAGTCAGGCACATGGGCCACCAACATGTAGGGAGCATGTACATGCATGTTTGCCATGTGTAGTTCGTGTTGTTCAGGATATATAAGACATAGGTGGAGGAGCACAGTGTTTTAAGGAAGATGTCACTATTTCTTTTTTTGCTTTTAAATTCTTAAATTTTGTTACGCTTATTAAAAATAATTGAGTTTTTTTTTTCTTGATTTTTTTAAATGGGATGCCTATAAATTGTAAAGAATTGCTAGAAAATAAGGTTTGGAATTGGAGAGATGATTCAGTGATTAAGAGCACTGGCTGCTCTTGCAGAGGATCTGGGTTCAGTTCCCAGCACCTACATAATGACTAACAACTGTTGGTAATTCCATTTCCAGGGGATCCAGTGCCCTCCCCTGGACTCCACAGTCATTGCATGCATATGGTATACATATATACATACAGGCAAAACACTCGTACACGTAAAATAAAAATAAATTAAAAAAAAAAAAGAAAGTGTATCTCCATACCTATTTCTGTTCACAAATCCTTTAGTGTTTTTCTGGTCATTTTGGGGCTGTATTTTATGTATATTTGCAGTTTTCATACATGTACAGTCATGCTACATAGCCAGGATGAGTTCTCCTGGTTTCATGATAATTAATTGCCCAAGTTGTTAAAATTATCAGCATTCATCTTTACCAGCCATGTGATTTTTCTTTTGCATTAAATTATCATAATTCATTAAATTTTCCCTTTACATGGGTTTTGAAGTGGTGCTGGTATGCCTATTATGTTTCCCAACGAGGGTGCAGATGCTCAGCTTCAGAGATGCCTTGTCATCCCTCTGGCACAAGAAAGCTGGGGTTGTTCAGGGTTCCTGCATTAGGGTTTCAAGACTTGGCCCAAGTTGGGCTTGGTATGCTGCTTCCAGGGCCAAAACACAGATCATAATAGAATACTGAGATACTTCACAGAGCGAAGTTACCTAAAGTAAGCCCTTATTGCTTGAGTTCCTACATTCCGGAGGAGACTTTGAGAGGCTCATGTTTAGCACCCTGGCCCTCTCTTTTGCTTTCATGCTGATGTGTAGCTGCTTTGCCACCTTATTTTATTTCACTTCCCCCTTTTTTTTGACTTTTTTGAGACAGGGTCTTCCTGTAGCCCCAGGCTGGCCTTAAACGCACAGAGATCCACCTGCCTCTGCCTCCCAAAGTGCTGGGATTAAAGGCATGCACCACCATGGCTGGCTTTCATTGTCTCTTTTGACTAGACAAAGCACTAATGAAAACCAAATACAAAAACTAGTAAACTAGTACATGCCTGTACTCCCAGCAATTGAGACATGGAGACAGAAGATCAGTAGTTCAAGACCGTCCTTGGCTACAAAGGTAGTTCTAGGCCATCCTGGGCTACACATGACTTTGTGTCAAAAAACTAAAAGCAGGGGCAGAGGTGGGGGGCACTTAAATCAAACAAATAACCCTCCCCCAAATAGTTATCAGTTGAATATGAACTTGCTTTTAAAATTCCCTTCACAAACTGGGCATGGTGGTGTGTGCCTTTAATCCCAGCTCTCAGAAGGCAGAGGCAGGTAGATCTCTGTGAGTTCATGTAGTGAGTTCCAGGCCAGTTGGGGTTACAGGGAGACCCTGTCTCAAAAACAAACCTTCCCTTCACTCTATGACTCATTTCTAATTTGTTGAATTTTATGCTCAGTCTCAAGGCTTTTGCCTGTGCCTGGCCTGCAAGTGCTTGTGACATGAGAGGGCGGGGTGCAGAATCTTGTTACAAAGCCTGGGCCCTTGTGACTGACCTGTTGTCTTGTGGTAGTTGTTACCCATATCCCATGATGCCAGCAGTCCACAAACCCTTCATACATCTAGTGCTTAGGGACAGCTCGGAATGGAAGGCAAATGAGGCCTGTGATGTCATCTCAGTGAGCTGAGAGTGGGCAGGAAAGCCAGTCATGCCAAGACAGTGCTATGACACGAGATGGAAAGGGTGATAACATGGATAGTCTAAATGTTTTTTTTTAATTATTAAACTTAAAAAAAAATTTTTTTTTTAAATTTTATGTGTATGCATGTATTGCCTGCATTTAGGTAAGTGCACCCATGTCCTACAGTGCCTGTGGAGGCCAGAAGAGGCTGTCAGATACCCTGGGACTGGAGTTACAGTTGTTAGCTGCCATGTGGGTGCTGGGATTCAAACCCGGGTCTTCTGCAATAACCAGTGTTCTTAACCACTGAGCCATCTCTCCAGCCCCATTAGTCTAAATGTTTTAAAGGAGGGGTAGGGCTTTCTTGACAGAATCCAAAAAAGGAACGAGAGAGGACAGAATGTGCTTTGTGTACATCCTGGGATGATTCTTCTCAACCCCACATGCTGTGGACTTTCACACCTCTCCTGAATTGAGTTAATCATGTAGTATTGCCCTGCTGTGACACAGCTTGCTCTCCCAGCCAGCACTAAGAGGAGGGTGCTTCTCCATTGGACTTCCTGGAGCTGCACATAGAAGTTGCTAACACTAATTAACAATTTTTTTTTCAACTTTCCACCCTGCCTGATCTGTAGCAACCTGTTGTGGCATGGTGTTGGCAGTGAATTCTGCTCTCCTTTCAGGATGAGCAAGGGCATGTATGGAAATTGTTAACTTAGGAAGGAAATATGTGCAAGGGCAGCTGAACCATCAGCTGCTTGTGTCTGCTAGGACTCTCTAACTTGGGTCCCAGGGGCAAGTTCAAATCTCCCTCCCACATGCCTGGTGTTAAGGGATAGGGATATATTGGAGGCTGAAGCTGGGGTGGTATGAACAGAGACTGAAAAATGAACCTTGCTTGTCATTTAAATTATACCAATGTCATTTTTCCCCCACCTTAAAGTTCAGACCTTTGGGCTCTTGGATGTATAATCTACCAGCTTGTGGCAGGACTCCCACCGTTCAGAGCCGGGTAAGAGGAATCTTGCACCTCTCAGGCCTCTGAGCCTATTATAGCCAATAGCTACTGGGAGGATAGGACAAGGGATGTGCCCAACTGGGGAGGAATGTCTACCGTTGTTAACAAGTGCATGGTGCTTAGGGGCTTGAGTCAGGGGGTGGTGGTGGCCTGGGAGGTGGTGAGACATTGACACGTATTCCTGGAGGTTTGAAGACCCTTGCCCAAATAACAGTTTTGGTGTTGTTCTTTTAATTCACAGAAATGAATATCTTATATTTCAGAAGATCATTAAGCTGGAATATGATTTCCCAGAAAAATTCTTCCCTAAGGCAAGGGACCTTGTGGAAAAACTCTTGGTAAGTATTTCAAAGTTTCTGTGGTGAGGGACCATCAGAGCTACCCCCTTTGACCTCTGTCCCATACTCAGAGGCATCCTGTTGAAAGATGTGTTTGTGGTAGACAGTGATTGTAGATTGTCAAGTTTTTATCTCATCTCAGTATAATCCCTTTCACTTTGCCAGTGCCTGGTTCTTCACTTTAATCAGACAGGAAATTACTGTATCATTTTGCGTGTGTTCATCAATATCACATCACATTTTAAGTTACTGCCACTGAGCAACTGGGCTTATTACAGTGGCAGATGGCTTCAAATCCTACTTTAGTAACATCTGCTGTTGTCAGCTTTAGAGTACACTATGTGAAGACTTTTAAGATCAACCTAGGTAACAGGCCAGAGAGAAGCAGAAAGTTTTGAGAAAGGTATGTCAGTTTGTGTTTCAGAAACCAGGTGTTTCAGCCCTGTTGGTTTAGACTCTGACCTCCTTCCTTCCTGATTCTTTGGGAATCAAGGCTAGCTGTGTATCTATGGGTAGGCCTAGAGTCAGCTCTTCCCAGCCATCCTTCTGGTCTCCTTTCCCTTCTGTTCCCTTAGTGGAGAGTGGGCTTAGTCCTCATGTGAGCCTAGGAATGATTGTGCCACAGCCTTTGAACCTTTGAAAAATGTAATATTCCACTCTGTGAGAGCTTGATGGTTGGTTTTCTTTGTTGTTGAGCCAGTCAATTCACCTTTTTCCCTTGTGTTAGTTTTGTTTTCAGATAGGATCTTATTGTGTAGCCCAAGTTGTCCTGAAATGCTTTACAATCCTCTTGCCTCAGCCTCCCCAGTACTGGGATGACAGGTATGCACTACCATGCCTGGCTCTTATGTTAGCATTTTTAGTTGCATGCTTTAAAAGGATGCTTGCTGCTGTTCTCTATATATCAAGGTTGTGATTTGTTTTTACTCATGGGAAGAAAAGGGCAAAGCCTTGGGGTGAGGTAGGAACCCTTACTAGCCTTTGTTATTTTTACCATGAGTGTGGGCAGGCCTGGGGGTGGGCAGCAGTGCCACTGCTTTTTCCAGGAGGTCTTAAAACTTGAAAAAACTTGAACAAAAAAAAGATGCACACATGCACGCGCGCGCACACACACACACACACACACACACTCACACTCACACACTCTTCTTTTTTTGATCAGAATTACATTTCAACCCTGACAGTGACTTGTTTTGGCTATCATTTAAGGTTTTAGATGCTACCAAGCGGTTAGGCTGTGAAGAAATGGAAGGGTACGAGCCTCTCAAAGCTCATCCATTCTTTGAGTCCATCACATGGGAGAATCTGCACCAGCAGACGCCTCCGAAGCTCACAGCTTACTTGCCAGCCATGTCTGAGGACGATGAGGACTGCTATGGCAATGTAAGCTGACACCCATGGGGGGGTAGCCCAGAGACGAGTTCTGCTCGTCACACTATGTGGATGTGGCTCTTTGGCACATGAGTACTTCATTGAGCCCATGTGCCGTGGGACCCTAATTTGTTATTACTGGTTAAATGTGTGAGCCAGTATTGTGGACCTGTTGGTGGTTGGTTGAATGCTGTGCAATAATGAGTAAATGGCCAACATGCCTTGTGTGGAATAATTCCTGTTTGTTCGTTTGTTTATTCATTTGTTCATTAATTTTTTGAGACAGGATCTTACTATGTAGCCCTGACTGGCCTAGAACTTGGTATATAGACTAGACTGGACTCAGAGTCAAAGAGATCTGCCTGGTCCTGCCTCCTGAGGGCTGGGATTAAAAACATGTACCACCACAGGCTAATTCCTGTTATTATTTCCTCAGCTGTTGGGGGATAGGAGGGAGTTCAGTTGGGGTCTGGACCTGTCAGTGAGGGAGTGGTGTCCTGCCCTCATCACTCAGCTCCTGGTGCTGAGTCTCCTGGTGGTTCATCATTAGCAGCTTTTAGTTCAGTGCCTTTTCTGGTTATTTCTATGCTCTGGAATGTTGCTTATTTTTCCAAGAGAAGTTGCTGCTTTGAATTTCCGGGAATGTGTGTGAGGGTGGATCCCAGTCCCTGTAGCTTGATGTTCATCAGGAGGGTCTGCCCAGTACCCAGGGGTGCCACCCTTTGGGTTTCTGGGCAGTTGCTGTCACTGGCTTCAAGTTCTGAAGAATTGACAACAGACACAGAAATTTGCGTATACTTCATTCTTAAAACTTTCTATCTTGTGGGGCTGGAGAGATGGCTCAGCGGTTAAGAGCACGGACTTCTCTTGCAGAGGACCCATGTTTGATTCCGGAACCCACGTGGTGGCTATGAACCATCTTTAACTCCAGTTCCAGGGGAATCTGATGCCTCTTGACCTCCACAGCATTGCATGACACAGTGCACTCACATACATATAGGCAGTACAGTCATACCTGTAAGATAAAAATAATAAATAAAATATTAAAAAAAAAAAACTTTGGGGGCTGGAGAGATGGCTCAGCAGTTAAGAATACTGACTGTTCTTGCAGTAGACCAAGGTTCAAATCCCAGCACCCACATGGCAGCTAACAACTGTCTGTAACTCCAGTTCCAGGGGATCCGACAGCCTCTTCTGTCTTCCATGGGCGTTGCATGACAGTGCACTTACCTACATGCAGGCAATACACACATATACATAAAATAAAAATAAATAAAATACTAAAAAACCTTTTTGTCTTGACAAATGAAAAAAAAACTTTAATGCACAAAAGGGACAAAAAGACATAAGAAGCTGCAATGTGCCTCCACTATTCCAGTCTTAACTTACACAGGCTTCTCTCATGATCCTCTGTTGGGACCTCCATATTTAAACATGATTTTTGGCAGATCATTTTCATTGATACTCCATTTTTCTGATTTGACTTCTGTTTTCTTAGCTTATTTTAACTAGTTAACATGCATGAAATTCCTGTTCAATTGACTGAGAAATTCTGACATTTGTCTAAAATGCTTCTAAAACATGCAGGGGTGGGGAGGAGGTGTGTATCTATAATCCCAACATTCAGAAGGCTGAGGCTGAAAGACTGAAAGTTCAAGGCCAGTCTGGGCTGTAAAGATAGGTGCTATCTCACCAAAAAAAAAAAAAGTTTTCCAAAGGTAAATTAAAATCACTGCTGTGATTTTATAGATCAAGGGTTCTCAGAGGAAAAAAAACCTGTTTTGGGCGTTTTTGAGACAGGATCTCCCTGTAGCCCCAGCTGGCCTGGATCTCACTATGTAGACCAGGCTGGCCTCCATCTCACAGAGATCCACCTGCTTCTGTCTCCTGAGTGCTAGGATTAAAGGTGTGTGCACCATGCCTGGCCAAAAAAAAAAAAAAAAAAATTATTATTTTTTATGTGTGCGAATGTTTGCCTGCAATGCCCATGGAGGTCAGAAGAGGGCGTTGGATCACCTGGAGCTGGAGTTATGGATGGTTAGACAGGATGTAGGTACTGGGAACTGAAACCCAGGTCCTCTACAAGAGCAGCCAGTGCTCTTAACCACTGAGTCATCTCTCTAGCCCATATCCCCATTTTCTAAAAATGTTCTTTGTGCCCAGAGTTTAAGAAATGAAATTCCAGCCGGGCGTGGTGTCTCACACCTTTAATCCCAGCACTGAGAGGCAGAGGCAGGCGGATCTCTGTGAGTTCAAGGCCAGCTTGGTCTACATAGTGAATTCCAGGACAGCTGTATCCACTGCAGAGAACTTAGGCTCAGTGCCAGAAGTTCCTGGCCCTTTCCCCACATGCTACCTGAATGCTCATGAGTAGTTCTCTTTCAGGTCGTATCCACAGGAGCTGATGGGGACCTTGGTTCCCTGCCTGCTAGGCCTTTCCTGCAGAAGTTACTCAAGACTAGCAGGCAGTCCTTCAGCCTAAGGGCTTCGTGCCTTATTCCTGTCTCCCCCATGGCAACTGATCTTTAAAAGGGCTGCATAGGTGCCCATGTCTCAGCAGCTAGGAGACACTTCACATACCTATGTGCATGCATGTGCACCTGAACATCTCTGCAGGCCTGCTCTGCACTGTTGAGAACATTGACTTTTTGGTCTAAAGCTTTGACTTCCACATGTGTAATCTGGTTCTGAGTCCAGCAGCTCTAGTATGATTTAAAGGCTTTGAGAAGCATCCAAGCAGAGAGCTCCTGTGCCAAAGTGCACCTTCAGACAGTGAAACTAGGCCTGGGGAATGCTGGGACACGGGGAGCCTGCTTTCCTTGGGCCAAGTAGCGATGAGCAGCTCAGTGATGCTGAAGAGGTAGCGTTGTGATGATTCTATATTCAGGGTTGGCTATAGGAATGTGACCCAGAGTCTCAGTTTCTGTGTCAGGAATAGGGACAATGGTAGCAACCTTGCTGGCTCTGAAGACTCTTATGACCTTCCTGCTCCCCCAATAGCATCCTGTAGTCACCTCTGTAAACTTGATGCAGAGATATTATCTCATCAAGGAACCTTTAGGAAGGACGTGGAGACAAAGCCAGGATTATGAATCTGGAGTCAGCAAGATGAGGCTATGGCTGTTGGGGGCTGTGCAGCGTATACTCTGTGATAGGGCCACTCTGCAACAAGGAGATGGGTATAGGCCTGCAGAGCCTGCTGAGGACAGGGCCTCTGGTGTAGTAGTCAGGGCCCTCTTTCTAGAGACTTAGGGCGTGGAAGGCAGGGCTCAGGATGAGGCCTGCTGCCCTAGGTGGTCATACCTGTCCTGGTCTGTGCTCAGGGTTCTTTAGTCCTGTCATTGCCTGAGAGTGGCAGAGTGTGAATTGCCCATTTAACATCTTTTGAATACTCCTTTCTGCGTCAACACTGACTTGTATTTTTCTCAAGAGTAACAAGTTTGTTTATATCGTTTGATTAATCATTGCTGGAATTAGAAAGAATAATTTTAAAAAATCAAATGTGGTAAGCCATATCAAAATATATAGTGCCTTCTGCGACTCCGACAGTTAAGACACCAGGACTAAAAGAAAAATATGCCTGAGCATTGAGTTCCATACTGGGGGTTGGATGCTTTGGTCCTGCCCTGTGGTACTGCGCTGAGTTCCAGGTTCTCTCTTCCTGGAGTAAAGAAATGAGGTACATCCTCTCTTGGACCTCTCTGTCAGAAGGACCCACAGCAGGAAGTGTTGGCCTTGCCTTGGTTCAGTGGCCACATGGCCATTGAAAGGGAATCTGTCAACAGTTAACCAGAAAGGACAGGTGGCCCACCTGCCTTTGCAGTATCTGTAAGCTCACTAGATTGTGAGTGACTATGGGAGCAGGCAATATGCAAGGGGATCTTTGACCTTAAATGCAAATTAAGGCACCTTTCTCCTTTTTTCTCCTTCCTTGCAGTACGACAATCTCCTGAGCCAGTTTGGCTGCATGCAGGTATCCTCCTCCTCCTCCTCCCACTCCTTGTCTGCGGTGGATGCTGGGCTACCCCACAGATCAGGCAGCAACATTGAGCAGTACATCCATGATTTGGACACTAACTCTTTTGAACTGGACTTACAGTTTTCTGAAGAGGAAAAAAGGTTGTTATTGGAAAAGCAAGCCGGTGGAAACCCTTGGTAAGGATCACAGCATCAGCAACCCTATCTAAAAATGCAGGAAGCATGGGGAAGCCCTAGGGGCCGGGCTGTATGGCCTGGCCTCTCCTCCTGAGCTTTCTACAGTTGAGCACTTTCCCAGGGGTGACTAGGAGGAGGACCCAGGGCTGGGGCTTAAGGTACTTTGTAGTCTTTGACAGTTTTTTCTTATTTACATCTTTATTAAATTATTTTTTTGATATAGGGTCTCTATGTTGTCTGGAACTCACTATGTAGTCTAGGCTAACCTCAAACTCAAAGAAATCTACCTTTCTCTGCTTCCCAAGTGCTGGTAAAATTGATTTTTTCTAAGAGCCTTATATATGAAAGCTATTCTCTTAAGTTTATTTTATCATTTTCTTCACTTACCTCTTCAGTCTACTGATAATGTTGTAAATTCATTCTTCTTTTTTTTTCTTGGTTTGGTCTTTTTGAGTAGCCCCAGCTGGCCTGGTACTCACTTTGTAGACCAGGCTAGCCTTGAACTCAGAAGAGGTCCAGCTGTCTCTGCCTCCAAAAATTTAAAAAAAAAAATCTTTTTGAGGCAGGGTTTCTCTGTAGCTATAGCTGGCCTGGAATTCACTATGTAGATCAGGCTGGTCTTAAACTCCCAAGTGCTGGGATTAAAGGTGTGCACCACCATGCACTGTGAAACATGCCCTGTGGCTGGCCTAGAACTCACTCTGTAGACCAGGCTAGCCTTGGCCTCACAGAGATCCACCTGCCTCCTGAGTGCTGGGATTAAGGGCATGCATGCATGTGCCACCATGCTTGGCTACCTCTTTTGTCTTTTAAAATTTTTATTTCATATGTGTGGGTATATTGCCTGAATGTATGTAAGTGTACCTGTGTCATGCAATTCCCATGGAGGCCAGAAGAGGGCATTGAATCCCTTAGAACTGGAGTTATGGATAGTTGTTAGCCACAACATGGGTGCTGGGAACTGAACCCTGGTCCTCTGCAAGAGCAGCCAGTAAGTACTCTTAACCACTGAGACATCACTCCAGCCCCCTCTTGTTTTTTGAGACAAAGTCTCATTATGTAGCCCTGGCTGGCCTTGCCTCCCAAGTACTGGATTAAAGGTTTATGCCACCATGCCCAGTTACCTGCATTTTCTTCAAGTACTTTTATGCTTTTACCTTAAAAAAAATTTTTTTTTATTCTTTGACAGTTTTATGCTTGCATATATTTTGATCATACTCATATACACACACCATTACTTTTATTTTTTTGTGTGTGTGTAGTGGGGTTTCTCTGGAATATATGTTTGAGTGGGGTAGGAGAAGGACAATTGAGGGCTTGTTGGGGAAAAAGAATGCAGAGGACTTGTGGAGAGGGAAGGAAGCCTTAGTGGTAAGGTACAGTGGAAAAAGCTGCAGATGTAGCTACTAGGATGTCTTGCCACCGGAATTATTCTCTCTAGAAAAATTAAGTGTAGTTATTGGCCTCCAGGAATAATCTATAATTATAGGGAATTTAAATTTATTGTTTGTTTTTTTGTCTTTTTGAGACAGGGTCTCCTTGTAGCCCCAGCTGTCCTAGAACTCGCTATGTAGACCAGGCTGGCCCTGAACTCACAGAGATCTGCCTGCCTCTGCCTCCCAAGTGCTGGGATTAAAGGCGTGCACCACCACGCCTGGCAGGGAATTTAAATTTAATAATTTAATAATCTACAATTATAGGGAATTTAAATTTAACTCACTATTTTCCAAGGGATAGAAGAAAAGGGGCTTTGCTTTTTTGTATTTATCTTTGAGTTAGCATACAAAATAGTGGGTTTCATTAAGGCATTTTCATGCATTTTGTTTTGTTTTGTTTTTTTGAGCCTCCCTCATCGCCATCCCCCTGTTACTCCCAGGTTTGTACCTCCCCTCCCCACAGTAGTCCCCTTTCCATTTTCATGTCCCCTATGTTGTATTTTTTTTTTAATCCTTTCCACCCTTAAGACCTTTCACAATCCTGTCAATAGTCCCCCTTTCCATTTCATAACCTGTACCTCCCCACCTCTGCACATACACAAATAAGAATAAAATAAAACTAGGATTTCTACAATCGACGTATGAGAGAATGGGTTATTTCACTTAATACAATAATTTCCACATGCATTCATTTTCCTGCAAATTTCATTTTGATTTTCTTTTTTTTCTTTTTGACTTTTCTGAAAAGATCTCACTCTGTTGCTCAAACTGAGCCAGAATTCACTATGTAGCCCAGGGTAGCCTCAAATTTGTGACAACACTCCTACCTCAGCCTCCCGAGTGTTGTGATTACAGGAATGAACCACCATACCTAGCTCAATAAAATTCCCTTGTGTATTTGGACCACTTTTTAATCATCCATTCATCTTTTGGTGTATGTCTAGGTTAGTTCTGTTTCCTTGCTGTTGTGAATAGTGTAGCAGTAAATGTAGATGTGTGTGCAGTTATCTCTGTGATAGACTTGTAGTCCTTTGGATCCCCTGGAACTGGAGTTAGAGATGGTTGTTAGCCACCATGTGGGTGCTGGGAATCAAACCCAGGTCCTCTGCAAGATCAGACAGTGCTCTTAACTGCTGAGCCATCTCTCCAGCCCCTATCTTTAGACTTAAAAAATTATTATGATTAATGTATATGTGTGCCTGCCATGTGTGTATGGGTACCTACAAAGGCCAGAAAAGATTGTTAGATCTCCTGGACCTGAAGTTAAAGGTGGTTGTGAGCCACCAAGTGGGTATACACAGTGAGCTCCAAGACCTGTCTCAAAAAGACCAAAAACAAACAAAAAGAAAACAAATGGCAACAAATACTGGCAAGGATATGGGGAAAGAGGAACACTTATTCACTACTGGTGGGATTGTAAACTGGTGTAGCCACTTTGGAAATCGGTATGCAGGTTTTTTAAATTTTTTATTATTTTTTGTCTTTTTGATACAGGGTCTCCCTGTAGCCCCAGCTTTCCTGGAACTCACTATGTAGACCAGGCTGGCCTTTAACTCACAGACATCCGCCTGTCTCTGCCGCCCGAGTGCTTGGATTAAAGGCATGCACCACCACGCCCGGCAATTTTAGTCTTTTAAAAAACCTGCATACTGTGAGTTTGAGGCCAGCCTGGTCTACATAGTGAGTTCCAGGACAGCTGGGGCTACAAGGAGATCCTGTCTCAAAAAGACCAAAAAAAAAAAAAAGACTAAAATTAGGAGCTGAAGAGATGGCTCAGCAGTTAAGAGCATTACTGCTCTTCCAAGGGGACCTGAGATCAGTTCCCAGCACCCTCATAGGGTGGCTCACAGCCACCTGTGACTCCAGGTCCAGGAGACCTGACACCCTTTTCTGGCCACTTCAGGCACCTATACACGTGTGGCAGACACAAATATGCATGTAGGCAAAACACTCATATCACATAAAATAAAAGTAAGTATTTTTAAAAATTCAGCACTCAAGAGGCAGAGGCAGGTGGATATCTGTGAGATGGAGGCCAGCCTGGTCTACGTAGTAAGTTCCAGGCCAGCTAGGGCTATAGGGAGACCCTGTCTCTAAAAATATCTAAAACTGTTACTGTATATTTTGATACTTTTGTAAAGAAAAGTTATACTACATTTTCAATGTGTATTCTTCAAAGGAGAAATTTTTTTATTGGCCATAGCAGTGCCATCTAAGTCTAAAAAGATTTAAGGCGACTGGGGAGATGGATGGCTCAATCAGTAGAGTGCTTGCTCTGCAAGCATGAAGACCTGAGTTCAGTCCCAAGCACCCAAGTAAGCTGGGTGTGGCAGTCCATGCCTATAATCCCAGTCTAGGGAAGCAGAGATAGGAGAATCCCTAGGGCTTGCTGGCTAGCCACTCTAGCCAAATCAGTGAGCTCAGAGACTCTGTCTCCAAAAATATGGTAAAGAGCAATTGAGGAAGATGCTGATAGTGACCTTTGGCCTCCACATGCACATATGTACACACACACACACAAACACAAGGATTTGAATTCTGAACTATGTATGTCTTATCTCTTTCTGGCTTATGCTGTTACTCTCACAGAGGAACAAATTGGTTAGGAACTTACACCATAATCATAGCTTCGAAAAATACCAGGACACCATAGAACCAGGGTAACACTTGACTGGATTAGAATTAGCCTACCCCAGTCTAGTGGGGAATCCCTGGAGAAGGGTGGGCTTCTTGTGATATGCAAAGGGTGGTATCTCACAGTGAAGAGAGCAGTTCTGAGAATCACTATAAGAAAATGCCTTGAGGGACTGAAGAGATGGGTCAGCAGATAAGAGCACCTGAGTTCAGTTCTCAGCACCCACATTGGGCAGCTCATAACCACCTGTAACTACGGCTTCAGGGGATCCAACATTCTCTTCTGGCCTCCAAGGTTGCCTGCACTTATATACATGTGCAGGTGTGCATGTGCACTTACAAATGGACAAATAAAACAAAATTTTCTTTTTGGTCTTTTTGATACAGGGTCTCCCTGTAGCTCCAGGTGGCCTGGAACTCACTGTGTAGACCAGGCGGGCCTTGAACTCACAGAGATCCACCTGCCTCTGCCTTCCAAGTGCTGGGATTAAAGGCGTACACCACCATGCCTGACAAAAACTAAATTTTTTAGAATAAAAAATGTCTTGGAGCTGGGCGTGGTGGCACATGCCTTTAATCCCAGTCCCTCTGAGTTCAAGGCCAGCCTGGTCTACCTAGTGAGTTCCAGGTCAGCTGGGGCTACACAGGGAGACCCTGTCTCAAAAAGAAAAAAAAAGAAAGGAGGGATTGGGAACTCATTGTAATTGGTACACCTACCAACTGAGTCACATCAGCCAAGATTTATTGATATGTATGTATGTATGTATGTATGTATGTATGTATGTATGTATGTATGTATGTTACGTGCATACCCATACATGCCATGGTGCTCATGTGGAAGTCAGATAACAACTTGGAGTCTATTCTTCTGTCATGTGGTACCTAAGATAGAACTCAGGTCTTTCGGCCTGGCATCAAATGCCTTTACCTACTGAGTAATCTTGTTGTTGACCCAGGTTTATTGTTTTTAATGAATTAAATAAGTATTTGAAGTGGGGCATGGTGGTGCATGTCTGTAATCCCAGCACTTAAGGTCAGTCTATGAACATTGCAGACAAAGCAATAAAACAAAAATAAAGTACTTGAAAATGTGTGTTGAAATTTCTCATAGAGCGTATTTCTTGGTGGATATAGTCCAGAGAGAGAAAACCAGTGGGGTCTTCCTCCAGTTTCAGAATAGAGTATAAAAACCCTGAGTCCTAAAGGTTGGAGAGCTGGCCTTTGAGACCAGTTGCCCACTAGGTACCACCACTGATCCCCTCCCCCAAATGAAGCCAGGTGTGGAGAGACTTCTGGGGTGTCAGTGCCACTCCCAGCTTCCCTGCAACTTCATTCTGTTCTCTGAGATGCTTTGCAGGAGCCTCAGGGTCAGATCCTTTAAGATAGTCTTCTTGGGGGTCTGTGTGGATAGGGGAGGAGAGAGCCTGGCTTTGGAGTCTGAGGAAGGCAGGGTTTTATATTGTTATCATTATGAGTTGACTGTGGGTAAGTCATGAGACCCTTGGCTTCTTTGTCCTCAACTATTTGGCAGTGGTAAGAGAAGTTGCCTATTTCAGGGACGCCATGGTGTTACATATGAAAGTGATGCTATCCATACACTGAACAGTTACCTGTGGTGCAGCTTTGGGTTTGGGTCTAGCTATCTATGTATCTTCAGATGATAACCTTCAACCTGCCAGGGAAAAGAAGGGCTCGTAAGGTGGGGTTTCTTCAGGAGTGGTTATTGACTTTGAAATAAAAAGTCAAAATGAGTCCTTGAAGTAAACCTTTCAAAGTGAATAGAGCTGCAGTTATGGTTCAGTGTAGAGTGCTTACCTTGTATGTATGATACCCTGGATTCAATATTTCAATAAAAATATTTAAAAAGCAGATAAATCAGCAGCAGCTATTGCAGGCTGGCTGGTTAAGCAGTGGATTGATGTTGCTGCTGCTATTGGAGCTTCCTTGGCCTTGTTTCCCAGTGCCCCTGAGTCCTAGTCTGTAGGTGAGTGACCTTTGCATCCCTGGGCAGAACTATGAGAAGTGGAGGCTGTAAGTATATGGCACTGTGTGCAGAGTGATCAAGTGGCAGGGCTGGCACCAATCATTCTACAGGGGCAAGGGAGGGGCATGTCTACTTCCCTGTGGTGCTGGGATATTTGGGTACTGATCTGCCTATGACTTCACTTTCTCTGAAAAATACTGCCATACCCCCTCCCTCCCTCCCTCCCCCCTTCTTTCCTTCTTTCCTTCTACTTTTTTCTTTTTTGACAAAATCTCCTTATATAGGCTGGCTGGCTTTTTCTCTTGTGTTTCAAGTTCTGGGTGTTTGATTGGTTGGGTCTCATTATCTCTGAGAGAGGGCATACTGTGCTTCCCTCTTGGGTCACTGCCTTGTTCTTGTTCAGAATCTCAGTTCTCAAAGCCCATATAATGCTGCATTGGTTGTGACTTGAGGCAGGGCCTTGGTGACACAGCCTGCCTTGGAAAGGTGATTGGTTTGATTTGGGCAGGTCAGGTAGTAGGATCTAGAAGCTTCTTCTCACATGGGCACTGGCTTTTCAGGGAGGTACCCAGATATCTACATGCTTATCTTACTTAGGTCATTTTCACATACAAAGTATAGTATTTTCACATTCAGACCAGGAATTCCAGTGGCATCACATAGAACATGGGGCAAAGCTGTAGCTCAGGGGTAGAGTGCTTGCCTGGATGCACAAGGCCATGGGTTCTATCCCCAGCACCTCAGAAAAGTACCAGGAGCTGGTAGTTTTAGTCCAGTAAAGAAACTAACCTTAGACATTAGATTATCTCAACTCTGAGGAGACAATGCTGCTAATCTGTAATAAGTCAAACCAAATCTCTCCTGCCTTATATGTTCTCCAGACTTAGCAGCAAATGCTTCTACCTGCTGAGTAATCTTGGAGTATTTGAATAAAAGTAATTTTCACCCCTTTAATACTAGCACTTGAGAGGTAGAAGCCGGCTGATCTCTATGAGGAGGACCATCCAGTCTACAAAGAGAGTTCCAGGCCAGCCAGGACTACATAGTGAGACCTTATCTCAAAAAAATCCTCCCAAAAACAATAACAAAAAAGGTTTTATCACATAGAAATTAGGGAAAAGACACTGTCACCCTCACCATTATGAGACCTGACTCCAAGGAGTTAGGGCCTGGTGTATGTTAAGCACATCCTTTACCACTGAGCCATACCCTCACAAAAGCTAGGATCTTTTAAGGATTTCTGATTCTATAGAACTCTGGACTCTAGGTATTGTTGGGTATCCTGACCTGAGAGTAATTTACAGGTGACAGTCTTCATTCTGATGTTGACTAATAGTGGCATTCTGTCAGATTCTTCACCTATTATGTTCTCTGTTGTCATTTTGTTTCGGTTCTTTTTTTTTTTTTTTTTAAGGTTTATTTTATATGTATCAAGTATTCTGCCTGTGTGTATGGTGTATGTAAATGTACCACATGTGTGCCTGGTCCCTGGGAAGGCCAGAAGATGATTTTTGAATCCCCTGGAACTGGAGTTACAGATGATTGGAATCCACCATGCTGGTGCTGGGAACAGGTCCTCTGCAAGAGCAGCAAGTGCTCTCAACGACTGAGTCATTTCTCTAGCCCCTGGTTTTTTTTTTTTTTTTTGAGACAGTGTTCCATACTGGCCTGGAACTTGATATGTAATGTAGCCAAGGATGACCTTAAACTCTGGAACCTCCTGCCTGCACCTCTCAAGTGCTGGATTATAGGCCTATGCTGCTGCTTCCTGCTTTGTTTGTTTTCAGTGCTGTACATTGAACCTAGGGCCTTGTGTATTCACTATAGTTTTTTTTTTTTTTTAACATGATAACAAGGTGGTTGGTTTCCTTGTTTCTATAACACCTTTCCTCTGCTGTACAGATATCCTTAACTGAGAGGTGACCCAGGGATGTAGATTCTGGCCCAAACATACAGATAGAACCTTGTATATACTGAATCTGGAGTATCTCCTGGTCCTGAAATGAGGTCACATCAGTGACAGGCAAGCTTGGTTGATGGAGAGTCCATAGGGGCCCTGTGGAGTTTGTCTGAAGGGCAGAGTTTGGAGAATTACTGACTCATTCTTGTTTTCTTTCTTTTTTTATAGGCACCAATTTGTAGAAAATAACCTAATACTAAAAATGGGCCCAGTGGATAAGCGAAAGGTGAGTCAGTACCTGCTGCTCTTCATCCTATGTCTTCCTGTTTCTAGCTCAAAGCAACTCTCCATTTTCAGTCTTCTGCTATGACTTGTTGGATGTGGCATCCTTTATCCCATCATGCTTTTTGGAGATCATCTCTAGATTTTATAGCTAGGGACATTCAGGCTCTTGGGAAAGCAGTTGGAGCGGTGGAAAGCCAGCCTTATGCTCTAGCCACAGAACATGCTTTCCTGTAGTTGCACAAGGACCACTTCACTGTGCCAAGGTTCTGTTACATTGAGGAAGATATATTTTTTTCTCATAGCCCAGCAAGTAGTCTTTCATTGGAAGATTTAAAAATACCTGAGTTATTGTTTATTACATATTATGGACCAGACAGAGTATACAGAATATATCTAAGGACTCCTGAATACCCTTTCTGGCTGTGCAGAAGGGCTGTGAAGGAGACTCTCCATGAAGGTGGGATATGGCCTGACCTGCTGAGTGTGGGACTCTGTGCCTTAGAGGAGCTGAGAGTTCAGGAAACTACAAGATAGCTGTCATTGGGCACATTGTTGTAAGCTAAGCAGCAGAGATCTGTACTTGCTTTTTCCCTGATAAAAGATGCTGGCCCTAGATTGAGGATGAAGTGTCTCAGGTAAGTGAACAGGTGACTGGTGTGGACTCTGTGCACTGAGCTATAGGTTGGTCTCCTCTGAGTCTTGATCGAATAGTGTATTTATGTACTTATTTGTATACTAGGGTTTATTTGCACGACGACGACAATTATTGCTCACAGAAGGGCCACATTTATATTATGTTGATCCTGTCAACAAAGTCCTGAAAGGTGAAATTCCATGGTCACAAGAACTCCGACCAGAGGCCAAGAATTTTAAAACTTTCTTTGTCCACACGGTGAGTCTGTCCCTATAAGGCCTGTGATGGTAGTATCTTCAGAGGCCTCTGTACCTCTGATGGAAGTGTTCCTTGCTTTGGCCAAGGGGGTATCTAGGGTCAGTTTCTCATGTCTCAGAGGTCTGCATGAACAGCTTAGGCCTGAGTTGGGCCGGAAGATACTCTGCTTATTTTTGCTTTGGGTTGGTCACCTGCCCACATACTTAGTGTCTGTACACATAGAATGAAGAAGCCCACTGTGTTCACAGGCTTCACAGAGGTGCTGGCAGCATTGATAGCAGGACAGGATGGGTGGGGATGGGAATCCTTGGAGGACATCAGATGCTCTGTCTTTGCAGCCTAACAGGACGTATTACCTGATGGATCCAAGCGGGAATGCTCACAAGTGGTGCAGAAAAATTCAAGAGGTTTGGAGGCAGCGGTACCAGAGCCACCCAGATGCCGCTGTGCAGTGACATGGCCTGCGGCCGGGCTGCCCTTTGCTGCCAGGAAATCCCCAGCGCGGCTCGGCCGCCACCCAGGACGCTTCCAGACCACCTGACAGCCATCTCAAGGAGAATGCAGATGGTGGAAACCTTGCAGCTTTTTTATTTAAAAGAAAAGAAGAAAAAAAAACCCAAACCACACAAAGAACAAAACAAATAACCAACAAACAGGAATTCAGGGTTGCTTTGCTTGCTTTCTGTGCTCTGTGGTGGCTTCCACATGCTGCTGTGGCTGTGGAGGCCCAGCTCCGTGCACGGCAGCCCAGCTCCCACCCCGACCAGTGGCCAGATTTGGCTCACCAGCCCCTCCTAGCTTCCACAGGAACTGCACGCTTGCTTCTACACCCCCTCACCTGATACACACAGCTCCTGATGTGGCCAAGGGAATGGGTGTGTCTTTGGCTCTTTCAGTTCCCCCCCCAGTGTCACAGAACCTTTCACCAAGGAGCTTCTTCACACCTCTGATGGGGTGGCCACCAGCTTGATGTAGGTACAGGGCTCTTAGCTTGTGCATGTACTCACTTCCTCAAGTCATGTGGCCCTGGAGACGTGATTAGGCCCCTGACATGCCTCCTTGTGTGACTGGTCCAGGATTTCTGTGGTCTCTGCCTTACAGCAGGCAGGTTGTGTGGTGAGGAGTATGCAGGCTACTATAGTTACAGCATCCTCTTTGGACTCTGCTCCTGTGTTCAATCTCCTGGTGGTCCATCTGGGGAGTTGGACAACCAAGCCAAGCATATGTCCAGGACGGGTGCTGTCAGACGAGAGCCTAGGTAGTACCAACTGGATCATTGCCTGGTACAGAATACTGCCCTGAACCTGGCCAAGGCCCAGAGGTACTGTGGAGAATCCAACCCTAGCAGCATGGACCACAGCCCTCATGTGGAGGAGTGGGACAGCAGGCTTTCCTGGGAGTCTCTGGAACATGCCCTGTGAGATAGGGTCTCAGAGGATCCTGGTATAGGCAGCCCCAGGGTGTGCCAACCTCCTGCCCAGCCTCACATGCACCTGTTTGTGCTGTGGGTAAACAGTTCTCAGCTAGCTCAGTTCTTACATCCCTGTGTTGAAAATCTAAAAGCCTTCTCATGTTGCTTAGTCACCTGGTACTGTAAAGGGTGGACTTTGCCTGGAAAGAATGTTACCTCTGTCTGACACACAGGAATATCCCACTTAAACCTGAACCTGTCTGCTCTGGCATTCTGTGCCAGTGTTAGGTCACTTCCTCTGAAGATCAGGTGACAGTGCTCTGCTCTGTAATACAGATGGCCTGGGGCATTTCATTCCCTTTCTTGCTTTGTTACTCTCAAGCAGAGTGTTCCTGAGGGACTTGACTATATATACTCTCTCTGCCTTGGTGGTTCTTGGAGGGTGGCCTTGGTCCTTAGCCAGGAGAAGTAGGTACCTGCCTTCACAGTTTGCTCACAAGTGACACCTCTGACTTCCATGTCCATAAGGCAGAACAATTTTGCTATTTCTGTTGACTTTCACAAAGGCACCAGCAAAAGGCCCACGCAGAGACGGTTCCCCCAGTTCAGTCTACAGTAACTGTCTGTGGGCCGGGCCATCTAAACTAAGAGGAAAAATTTCTTCTCAGACTTTTAACAGTAACAGTAAGAGTGGTTCTTTTAAAACTGGTGTGGAGTACAGACAGAAGGCCTGCCATCATGCCAGGGCAGGGGTGCTGGATGGGAGCAGAGGTATTCTTCAGATGTTGCCAGATCATGTGGTAAGAGTTTCTGGTGATCAAGGAGCAGGTATCAGGACCTCACCTACCCTTAGGGCCCAGGGAGTGAACATGACCCAGCATGCAGCCCCAGCCTGTGAGTGAAGATGGGTCCCCCTGTCTCCTAGCTTCTGAAGAGGCTTGCTTGTGTTGGCTGAATCGCAATTAGTTTCCTCCTTGGAGTTCCTATTCATGCTCAATCTCCCTGGCTATTTAGCCCTTGGAGTATCCTGTGCCCTGTGTCTATATGTGTAAGAGTGACTCCCTGATGCTCCCATCCACACAGGCATAGATAAGGCATCTCTCAGGGTACTTGACTATAGGTGAACATGTGGAGCTGAAACTTGGCTTTGAATAAGAGCACCTGGCCAGCTGTGTAAGGGAGAGTCTCCTGTTGCCTCCTCCCCCTGGAGAGTGACACTACCTCCTGGGCTTCACCAAGCACCATCCTAACCTCCAAAACCACAGGTGTGGGCTCAGTTGAGCTGGCAGTTGGTGGCCAAGATGACTGCCCAATGTGGACAATAGCAGAGCTCTTCCAGGTCACCTTTGTCCTTACTGCTCACTATTTTTTTTTTTTTTTGCCTTCTTCCATCCCCCCCTTAAAGGGCCATGCACATTGTTTGCTTACCCTGACTTCGATCACTTTCAGTTTTTTCCAACCATCCTTAGAGTTGTCACCTAGTATGCAGGTGCCTTACATTGTAGGATAGGGATGTGGGTGTCTTTGTACAACAGTATATATGTAGAACAGTAAGTGGGGGATCTATCTTAGGTGAAAAAGTGCCCTATTGTTAGTAACTCTGGAAGTCAAGTGTCCTAAGAATAGCAAGGATGAATAGAAGGTTCAAAGACCATTCTCTGTGGCTTCTACCACAGGGAAATAGGCCTGTGGTTGCTATGTCTCATAGCCCACTGAGCCCTGTTGCTTCTTGGGAACAGAGAAAGCTGAGCTTGGATGGGTCATTTCCACTTGTTTTCTGTAGCTACAGCTGGGCAATGGGCATCTTGGTGGAGCTCTGAGCCTCTCTACCCCAAGGAATGGCACCATGGCTCAGCTGCCATTCTGAACCATGATCTGTTGTAGGCAGTAAAAGCCACTTTGAGAAAGGTGACTTGTTAGGCCAAAACTGGCAGCAACTTCACCTGCAGCCCTCTTGGGCTACCCTAATATTTGTGGTCCATGCCTGAAGTAACCTTGTAGACCTGTGGCACAGACTCCCAGTGCCAGCAAGGGGCTCTGAGTAATTATGTGCTTTCTTAAAAGTAATGTCTGTTTTCTGGGAAAACAAAAACAAAACAATGAAAGGCCCACCATTCAGAGACCACTGTGAGCATTTTGGTGTAGATCCTGCTCCCCCAAACTTTTCTTGCTTGGAATTGAGCTCAGAGACTTGTGAGTACTAGGCAAGTGTTCTACACTGAACTACATCCCCAACTCTTGTTTGCTTTTTAAACCAAACTGGGAACATATGACATACATCATTTTGGATCTAGCTTTTTTATTTGATATTTTAAGCATTTCCATGCCATGAGCAGTTTTTCAAAAGCATGTTTTAAATGATTGTAGAGTCTAATGGCTGTAAATTTTATAAGTTATCTGACCATTTCCCTGTTGTAAAACATTCAGATGGTTTTTTTTTATTATTATTTAAGTAATGCTGTGATGAATATACTTAAAAAGTCTTTGATTTTTACTCTGATTTTTTTCCTCTCCAGATGCCTGCAAGTGGTGTTTTTGGGTCAAAGAATTTGTTCATTTCACATATATTCCTCCTCCTTAGTCTGATGTTTAGATGCTCTGAGTTCCAGTAACATCCTCCTTCCTTGTGTCCTACAGATTTTGAACAAATCAGTTCTTGCTAAGCTGTGTGTTCTAAAGAGAGTTTGAATATGACTGCTTTTTTTTTTTTTTAATTTTGGAATGTCATTACTGCAGATTCATTTGTGTCAGATATTTCCAAGAGCTAGTTTCCTTATTTTCATTGCAAGAATCTGGTCATGTTTGCATGTTAGTTCTTGTCCATCCTTGCTGCTATGGCTTCCAAGTGCTTAGTGATGTTTTCAGAATCCCGTACTTTGTGTATACAATGGTACTGAATCTGCTTCTACATAGTCAGCAGAGATAAAATGTTGAACTGACCTTGCCACATGGTTAGTGGTTAATTCGTAATTAAGTTTATAGGACTCGGAAACTACATTTGGGCCATTTGAGATCAGTAGCAAAGCAAAGTAGCAAGCTCTTCTTGAAAAAGAAACCATGTAGATGATTAGGTTTTACAACAGTGCAGTTGTGTGTGTCCTTGCTCTACCCCTTCTCAGGTCTTAGTGTTTCATGACAGCACAGTGGTCAGGCTTTTTCATTGAGGACAGGTGTAAACATCCCTTCACCTCCCTGCCCACAATGCTGCAGGTTGATTATGATCTTCAAGTCCAGACCACCCACCCAAATTTGATTGTATTGTTTTTCCGTGTTGAGGGGGAGGGCATTGATTACAATTGGAAACATGTAACAGCAGAGATTTTTCTGGGCACCATACTCAGTGTCAGTTGACTCTGCCATAGTCTATTGGCTTAAGATGTGCAGAATCCCTGCCCTCCTGATGCCTCAAGGCCCTTCCCCACTGGGTCCGCAGACTCAAGATGCTCATTGGTGAGACTTGGGAAGCTGAGGCAGCTGTATGATGATGTTCCAAGGGATGCTGCCATACACTTTATCCATGTTTCATTGCAAACTCAACAGAAACTGATAGTGACTCCAGTGGGTGTAGCTTTTCTTAGGGAGAATGTATGACAAGTGCCCTTGAATCAGTTGGAGCTGGGGCCACTTTCATAGCGTTCTGAGGCTCTGAAGGGACTGGTGGCTTCAGGCCTAAGACTTCAGGTTGTAAATCAGACTATGGAGAAGTGGTCTAAGAAGGAAACTTTCTGTCAAAGAGCACTTTGGCAAAGGTGAGCAAATGAATTAACCAGTGTGAATACCTGAAATTTCCCTTTAATTTCTTCCCTATGAAGAATACAAACTGTACAGAGTTTTTACAAAAGACATCCCCCCCATATAGCCCACCCTACAAGTAGGTCATTGTGCAGGTGAAAGCCTCCATTGTGACCATAGTTTGATTGGATGTTGGCAAATTAAACTGTCACAGTATTTATAGCTGCTGCGGCTGTTCCATAGCCACATACAGTAGAATGAATCAATAGTCTGTTGCTATTGTTCAGGTTCGTGGCAGTCAGTTAGAACATGTGTAATACTCTCTACCTGGTCTGTAGCTGTAACTGTGATGTACAGGCAAAGCAAAATTTTTTTTAAAACTTATGAAAACAAATAATGCAATGATACTAGGATATACACTTTTGTATTTTTATTCTTATATAAGGTTATTTGCTGGCTATTGTTGGCCTCTAGTTCAGTCTGTGTTATTTAAATTCTAATATATGAATTATTTGGGTTGAATTCATGTTCGGGGTCACGTTGTTGTATGTATTGATGTACAGCCTTGAATGTGAATAATTATTGTAAACTATATTTTACAACTTTTTTTCTGGCTTTATTATATAAATTTTCTATTTGGTCATGGTTTAATCATATCATAATTTAATGAAACTTTTTTTCTCTTTTTTTCAAATACCTGTGCTTTAGATGTAGTTACCGGATGATGAATTTCCCTCGTATGCTCGGTAGTCTTGTAATAAAAGCATGTAGCGTGTACACGTTCGCAGGCCTGGCTCCTCCTTTGGCGGGGGCGGGGCCAGAGTGCCCCGCGCGAACCTTAGGCTCTCTCAGCCGGAAGGGGTCATAGCCGGCTGATTTTCTGAGCCGGAACTTCCTCTTTCCTACAGGACAGGGGGCGGGCGCTTTATTAGGGCGGACCTGTGGGTGGGACAGCTCTGAGGACATTATTAAAGACCGGACGCTTCCGGCGGAGGGGAGCTGTGGCGGGGCTTGTTGGGATCATGGCGGAGAATCACTGCGAGCTGCAGCCGCCAACCCCTAACAGCCTCGGGGCGGGGCTGGGGGGCGGCTTGTGTCGCCGTTGCAGCGCTGGGCTCGGCGCCCTGGCTCAGCGTCCTGGTGGCGTGTCCAAGTGGGTCCGGCTCAACGTCGGTGGTACCTATTTCCTTACCACCCGGCAGACGCTCTGCCGGGACCCGAAGTCCTTCCTGTACCGCCTGTGCCAGGCCGACCCCGACCTGGACTCCGATAAGGTGAGGGTCTCGCAGGTCCGCAGGGGGCCGACCGCCCTGACCGAGGGCCTCCGTACGTCCCTCTGCGCACCCGAGAGCGCTCAGTGGAGCCGGCACCCCGAGCCCTGCGCGCCCTGGGTGGAAGGAAGGATGGCGTTCTCAAGCCCACCTGCCTTGGGGCAGGGGGCTTTGCTTCGCTGAGGGCACCTCTCTCCTTCGCTTTTCCGGCTTTCTGGTCGAGGAGGAAGAGCTTCCGCAGACCCCGAACTTTGCAGTGGACCCACTTTTTCTCCTTAAATTCTTTTGCCCAGGGTGTGTGAAAACCTCCGCCCCAGCTATTTGCTGGCTGTGGAACCCGAGAGCTCTTTGCATTCATCTGGTCTTTTCACATTCCAGACGTTTTAGCATAGACTGTGGGGGTTGACAGAGTGGCCGCCTTTTCTCAGTGACTTGCATTTAGAGAGTTGGCGCTCCATCCCTATCATCCACAACACTCGCGGCTCTTAGAAGGTGCCCTCCAAAGTAATGTGTTCAAGGGTGTTATTTAAATTCGAATGTATGAATTATTTGTATTGAATTTATGTTCGGGGCCAAGTGTAGAAAAACCTTAGGGCTGTTTAAAGGAGGGGCCAGGTAGACAATCTTTTCAAATCTGCTTTCCGAGCTTGGTTTCCAAATCGCCTTTGCAAAAGGATAGGAATTTCCAGGTTTGTTTGCAGTTTTTCTTTTATCAAATTAAATGCTAGTACTATTGTGCCTATGGTAATAGAAACTATTTCGATTATTGCCTTTAGTGGAAGGAGTTTTGTGGAAGAAGGAGATATCTCCGGAGTATACAGGATTGAAACGTAAGAGAAAAAAATAGTTGTAGTTATGTCTTCCCCCTGCCCCCCAGGCAGTTTACTAACCTTACACTAACTTTGCAGATCTTTCAGTTGAGTCTACGTGATTGTACTTGGCTTTGTGCCTTGCCAGCCTGAATTTTGCTGTTGGGAGGCTTTCCAGAAAGATGGTAACCCTCTTCATTTAAAGAAGCCTTACAGAGCCCCTTCTTCGTGTGGCCCGACCTTAGGATCAGGAAATAATTGTTTTAGAATGTTGGTACCCTACAACTCTCCCAATTGTTCGCATTCTCCTTTGACCAATCTCTTTATTCTTAGAAAATTGACCTCCTGGAAAATGACAGTCATCTTCAGGATAGAAATGGACTTTTATCAGTTGTGATTTCCTTTTATAGTGTCAGTATATATTTTACTGTTGGTTTTTCAAACAGTGAGTCTTTATGATCATTCACTTACCTTTCTACTTAGCATTGCTGTCTTGTGTATTAAATCAGATTTTAAATTATTGTCCATGTTTTCTGATGAAGCAGCGTCTGCCTAAATAGCACTGGAGCAGTAGATTTGGATCTATTTGACTTTCACACAGTTAAAGTCAAATTCATCTTTTCATTTTATTGTCTTAGTGCTATTCTTTACTGGGCTTGTGAGATGGCACCTGCTGCCAGGGTTGAGTCTGACCACGTGGTGGAAGGAGAGAACTGACCCCTGAAAGTTGTCCTCTGACCTCCACAGGCACACTGTTGTGCTTGTGTGCCTACACACATACATACAAAAAAAAAAAAAATACATAGTGAGTTCCAGGCCAACCCGGGCTACAGGGAGACCCTGTCTTAAAATCACATTTGAGTTTTAAATTTATAAAACCACATTTCAGAGCAAAAAGAAGAAAAATAGAAAAATCAAGAATTCTAGTCTGGTGTGGTACACACCTTTAATCCCAGCACTCAGGAAGCAGAGGCAGGCAGATCTCTGTGAGATCAAGGCCAGCCTGGTTTACATAACTGAGTTCCAGTTGGGGCCTACAGTGAGACTCTGTCCCAAACAAACAAAAAAGCTAACTCATTCTCAACTACATAATGACTTTTGGACTAGCCTGGGCTACAAGAGACCCAGGTTCCACAAAAACCCTGAAAAGTAGAATGGATTCAATCTCAGTCTCATAGTTGATAGTATTCGTTTTAGTCACAGGTAAATTGCTAGGAAAAGCAATGTTACTTCATATTAGTCATGTTATTAAAGGGGTCAGATAACAAAATGTATGAATGCTCTGTGTTCTCAGTGCCCTCTCCCCAACACACCTCCAAGTTCTGATGAATGTCCCAGGAGATTCCTCCTTGAGGGTGGAAGAGAAGGGGTATTAGTAGTTGCGGGCCATTAATTACATGATGGAAGATAAACAGGATGTTGATTCACATGGAAAGATCTCGAAGCTCTGCCCTCATAGTTAAGATTGAGGAAAGGATACCTCGCGGATATTCCTAGAGTTGAACTTTAACTGGGGTCTGGTGCAAGATTCTCTACCTGGTATTTGACTGGTGGTTATTGAGCACCTGGGCATACAGAATGTGATACCAAGATGGGAGCTGTGTGGGGAGATTTAAGGGTAAGAGGTTTCTAAGAAACTTTTTAGGAACTTCTGGGTTTCACATTTTGTGGGAGATCACCAACCGCAGACTCTTTGGTGGTCTTGGGTTTCTGATCAGAGAGTTACTTCAGGGGTTTCTGGAAGGCGCTTTCCCAAGATGTTGACAGGTTGTTAGGGATGGTAGAGAATGCAAGCATATTCAGGGCTTTCTTGACTGCCTTCCCAGCCTCACATAATCCTCTGGACTGTAACTGCCCCCCCATTCCTCCATGTTCACAGAGCCTAGTGTTGCCATCCATCATTCCTTGTAACCCTAGATAATTGCTCTCTTATCTCAGGGGCCAACTTTGGGCCCACTGCTGCCATGAAGTTCTTTTTTCTAGATAGCCTGAATGAATTCTCACTTCCTCCTGGGACTTCCTCCAGTGGGACTGGTTGTGTTGTACATTTGAGGTTCTGCTCACCTGTTGTGTGTCATTTTCTCTCCTTTGTTGTCCTTGGGGAAAGAGTGACATGATGCACCTTCTTGAGCTGCCTGTGGAAAGTGCTTTGTAAATGCTTGATATTTGATCCATTTTGGTTATGTCTCTGTATCCTGATTATGTTGTATTCCAGTAGTATTGTTGAAAACAGTAGAGTTGCCATTTGTAGCTAAACTGGCCCCTGCTTTAGTATGGCTGGAAGCCAGCCTGAAGTAGGAGTGTTCTGTCTCTGTCTAATTCAGGTCTGGAGAAAACTGCTACTTGCACATGAACTTCTGCCCTTGGAACAGGGCCCCTGTCCTAGCTTTAAGGTTGCAGACACAGTAGCATCAGTTGGGTCTTTGGATGCAGTCAGTGCTTCCTGCAGCAAGGTCCATACGTTCTTCCCTGTACCCACTTGGTATATACTTGGTGCTGGTGAGTTTTAGGGTAAGAAAGATATGAAAGGAATTTTATAGGCAGGGCTAAGGGATATGATGTGGGTGGGAGTGCCATCTCTAAACCGGCTGCTTGGCAAGAGAAGTGGGGATTACTTTAGAGTAGAAGTGGCAGATGATGTTCTGTGTAACTAAATCAGAAGTGAGAAACTGACTGGCAGAATCCCCACAAGTCCCGTGCATTGGGCAGAGTTGCATTGGCCACAGAGACTTTGAGTGGGTGTCTGAGGCACAGGCATGTTTCATTTCGATGGCACATTAAGGATGTGACCCTGAGAATGTTCTTGGCCCTGGCCATGCATCTTGGTGCTGTGCTTTGTTAGTGAGTGCTTGTCCTCTCTGAGTCTGGTCACCTTTGTACATTGTGTCTCTTTTGGAAACCCCTTGGCCCTGAGCAAGCTAGGAGGACTTGTCATTTCATGAGGAGTTGGTTCTGAGGAAAGCTTGTCTCAGGGTGTCTGCTGAGGCCATAGGGAGGTGGCTTTCAGGTACAAAGGTATTCCTCTTTCTGGCCACCTGCCAGCTTTTTCACATAAAATGCTCTTGGAACCTGGAGATACTCATTCCCCTATGGATGGGGTATGGCTTCTTTGGCTCTAAAAGGGCAGGGCTGAGGGAAGCAATAAAGCCAACATGGTTACCAACCTACCCTTCTCAGAGAGTATGTGTGCCAGTGGGTCCTAGGGAGCAGGGCCTGGGGTGGGAAGTACTTGCTGTTTCCCAGGCATCAGTACAAGCCTCATGGTAGCTCCTTTTCAGAGCCCTTTCTGCACTTTGCTTATTTAGTGGGTCTTCCTTCTGTGTAGTCTGGGCCACTAGCTAGTGGGAGGATCTGTGATAAGGTGCTAGCAGGCTGCCCTTGTTCAGGTGCACACTGGCTCTCACCAGGCCTTGATTAGCGGTGACTCTCACTGGACTGCAGAGCACTCAAGAAAATTCTGTGCTAGGGTGGACATTTCATGGTGGACATTTTTCCTGATACAGAATTAGGCTCAGGCTCTGGGAGCCTGGTATGCCTTTGCATTGTGCCTTGGGGCATAGTTATGAACCTCTTCCTTAGGTTCTTCATATGTGAAGATAACACCTCGTAAGGAATAGTTGGGAGAATTAAGAAGTGGAGTCCTGTTGTACCCCTACACACACTGGGATAGTACAGTCATAGAGTGATATTAGTGCTCTTTAGTTTTGTGCTTTGTTTTGAAAAAAGAATACTCCAAGAAACTCCTCCTCCCATTTTAAGTTAATGTTTGTTTCTGACATTCATCACTAAAGCTTCCCATATCTGGCCGGGCAGTTCCTTCGAAGATGGGCCCGACTGGTGTCCCCAGTGTTTAAATTGTCTGGGCGATCCCACCCTACCAGTCTTGCTTCCTACCCCAGCATACTTATCCAGAGCTCCTGAACAGGCCCCTGGGGAGCTCTCTAGCCCTGGACACCTGAGCCTTGTGGGAAGGGGGCAGAATGTCAGGGTCAGTCACTAGACTTTCTTGTAAAGCTTTTAATGCTTTCAAGCTTGGGACGTGCAGCTCCAGGGCTCTGGTTCAGCACCCAGGACAAGTGGAGATGGCCTCAAGGTGGCTCAGAGAACATCTGAGGGTAGGGTGTGCCCCAGCATTTCCATTGTTCTTGTTCTGGTGAATTCTTGCTTTGCTTTGGCTGGTGGTTGGGGCTCTAT